GTTAGGAAGGCTCCCTGAGAAACATTTACCAGCATCACTGTTTCCACTCAATAATCTCATCCGGAGGAGGCTGCCGCTCTGGTGACGGCCACACCTGGCCACTCATGAGAGTTTCATGCGGTGATCTTTGCAAGTCAGGAAGTGAAAGAGGCTGGGGAGTTTTATATTTGTCTGACCTTCACCATCTGGAGGCTGAGTGGCAGATGTTTTAAACCCACAGGTTTTGAGGACAGCCAGACGGAGGTCGGAAACCCAGCGCTGTCGCTAACCAGCGTGTGACCTTAGGCAAGCAACGTGACCGCTCAGTGTCTCACTTGTTAACAGGGGCTATTCATACCAACCCGAGGGATTGTTGGGAGGGTGAAATACCATAATATAAGTAAAGTGTAGTCCCTGCCGCATCACGAAGTCCCAATAAATATTAATGCTACTGAAAGCTGTTTTAGATAGAGCTCCATAGAGATGGGCCCATCCTATTCCAGAGTGGACTTATTATCAGCATTTGAGATACTGGAAAGAAACTGACACAGCAGATTGAGGACATGTGTAGGCCTATGTCCGCAGAACTGGCTGAAATTTTCTTGGACCTGCATCCAAGGTGACTTTTTTTTAAGGTTTTGAGAGATGCAACTTACCCAAGTTTGTGGTCACAAAATGTCGTTTTATACAGGCTGGGGCAAAAGTCGGTTTCCAGTTGTTCATATGGAAAATAAGCAATAACAGTACAAATATAAACTCCGTGTTTTGCATACTCACAACTGGAAACTGACTTTTGCCCCACCTCGTATGGCTGCCCCCAGGCATCCAACACACGGTTTCCTAATGTGAAATGATGGGGTGGGGGGAAAGGGAGAACAAGCGAAATGAGCAGGTGCCACATGCAGACCAACATCACACCAGCAGAGCAGGGGGAGTCCCCACCGCGGAAATGCTCCCCGCCCAGGGGGAGTCTGGGTCTGGAAGAGCTGCAGTGGGTTAAATGAAGTTGTAATCAAGTGAGAGCTGGAACTGCTCGCTGCCACAGCGGCCATCAGTCGAATGACATGGGGTACAGGCAAGGAAAGCAACGTTATCAAAAAGCCAGCAAGCCAAGAAGATGGCAGACTAGCATCCCAAAGAACCTTCTTGAGAAAGTACAGCATTTAGGCTCGTTTATGTCAGGGAAAGGGGGGACAGGGGAGGACTCTGAGCTCAGAAGGTCACCACAGACATCTGGACCTTAGGAAAGGTCCAAGAAAATTGTGAAACTTTTTTGCATTGGTCAACTAACTGTGGCCGCCAGTCATGAGGTGCCCATATTCCTTTAAATAAACAATCTACAGATAAGAATCCTTTAGTGATTAGCATACCTCCTACGTGCAGGACTGGGAAGTTACTAAAGGACATGTTATGGGAACTGGGCAGGCTCAAGCCAGATGGAGTCAGAAAGACTGATTATTTTATTCTATTACAAAGTCATAATTTCAGAAGAAACTTAAGAGTGTGCCTGCCACATGAGGCCCCTTTCCTGGCCTTTGAGGTCCAATCATGGCCCCTGTGAGCCCCTGTGAGGAGGTACCAATTGGGCTGAAGGCATGATGCAAACCGCAAGACTATCCTGACATTTCTGAATGTTTGCACCCAGGGCCAAACTCGGGGCAACTTTGGGACCCAGTAAGTTCTGTGAAAGTGCATTCTCGCTCCCAAGAACTGCTGGGACCCAAGCGAGAGCCAGCATCTGCGACAGATATTTCTCTCTGCTGCCCGCCTGTCTCGTCCTAGTTCAGGGGCTTGGTCACAGCTGAACTGTGGTCACCCGGCCCGTCGCAGAGGCAGTGTGCAACCCAGAGTCAGGCGCCTGCATAAGCTCCCTGTGTCCTCAGAACGGCAGTTTCCTCATCTGTAAAGGCCCCTGGCCAGTTTGGCTCAGTGGATAGAGTGTCTGACTGCAGACATCGATATTTCTCTCTGTCTTTCCCTCTCTCTTCCACTCTCTCTAAAAATCCATGGGAAAATATCCTCAGGTGAGGGTTTAAAAAAAAAAAAAGGAAGAAGCGGCAATGCCTCTCTTAAGAGTTGTGGAAGGACAGGAAAGAATATATTTAATACAGGAGAGCTATGATTATTTTTAGAATAAAAGTGACTTTTCTTGTTGGAAAAGCAACACACAAAGAATTGAAAATTTATAAAATGTGTTGCAGAAGACCAGAGAAGAAAATCAACACTTAGAGAGTTTGGAATTACACTTTTCAATATACACTGGTGGGCTTAGAGAAAAATGAATTCAAATTCTAAGCAGAACTTTCCTTTTTGTTAAAGAGCCAGCCCTCTGTGAGCTTAGTGGTTATCTCGCTGGTGGCCTTGAAAACAACACAGTTCTATCCAATTAAAAAATACATCTGGCATGGCCTGAGAGTATGGGTGTATCTAGTCTCTGGCCTACAAGGTCAGACAGCTAAGTTTATCTTCCTTATTATTCAAGCAGGCTCGAAAGCAAAGTTATTTTTTCAGAATGAGGGGCTGTTTAAAAAAATAGCAGAGTTGACTTTGCAGAATAAGGGACTATCTGAACAGCAGAGAATTTCAAATAGTAGTTTTTTAAAAAAAGGGGTTAGCCTTCTCAAATAAACATACGCAGAAAGAAGAAATTTTAAAGTCCTCATCACTCAGAGATAACAACCACTAACATACTGGTGTATACCCTCTCGAAGCTGTTACTCATGCCTACAGACACACTTTTTTTTTTTAATGGGCCCATATTTTGGTAGTACTCTAACCGGACAACCAAGGGGTCCAGACTGCCTATCACTACTTCAGCCAATTAAGCAGAGACAGGGTTGAATCATATATGAGTGTTTATTTTAATAATGCCGGCAGTATGGGAGAGCAGCAGGTCACCCGCAAACATCTGCTCTGCCTCGCCCCATAACCCAGCTGCGGCTTCTGGGTAGTTGCTGTAGAAGACCGAAGAAACCCAAGCAACACTCAGAGAAATGGAGTTACACAGCTTTATTATGCCGGCGGTCTCAGAGGAGTCGCCTCCAGAGTCTGAGCAAACCAATCTGGTGGAAGCTCTTCTTTTATCCCCTTTTGGTTTCTTTGTCCCCCAAATGTGGATGGGGAATTTCCGGACCTTTCAAAGCCCCGTGGGTTGGCATGGGGGTCTTGAGATCATATCCCAGGGTCTGTCCTGGCGCCAGCACTGATAGGCCCCTCTGGCGGTTCATGGTTTACGGCTTCTGTAAAATGTGAGCATTTAGGTAACAGGTCTTGCAAGACCAGATTGTGGAGGAAAGGGGCAGTGGCTTCATTATAGGTTACCAAGAATGCACATGAGGTTACTGCACAGATTCAGATTGCTGGCCCCCCAAACATCAGGGTTACATGGGAATTAGCCTTTTAGCCTTCTCATAGTGAAACGGAATTTTTAGACTGGAACCTGGATTCTTTGTCGGCCAGAATCGAAGAATGAATCCACGGACAGAAAGTGGTATAGCAAAGGTGGAGATTTATTGAAGAACAAGTACTGACTCCCACGTGGGGAGGGGGAAAGAGTCCCACAGAATGGACTCCCAAGTAGGGAGGGGAGAGGGTTCCACTGAGTTCCATTTCCCTATGGCTTATACAG